GAAAACGATTAAAAATATACAAATCATTTCTCAAACATTGTCAGCTCCTGATGAGAATAATTTTGTACTGACAATCTTTATTATGCAGTAGTGATTCATTTGTTTAGACCAGTAATTCACAAACATTGGTCCCCCAGTTGTTTTGGACTTTAACTTCTAGAAGCCCCAGCCAGCTTCCCATTTTTTTGTTTGGAAGCCATCCTGAATCCCCCTAGGGAGATAGGGCAGGTATAAATAAAGCATTATTATTATTATTATTATTATTATTATTATTATTATTATTTATTTGTCAAGTACTCAGGAATTCTGGGAGCTGATGTCCCAGTTCTGGAATAATTTGCTATTTAAGCTTTTTATTGTGATGTCTTTTTATTGTGATGTCTTTTTATTGTGATGTCTTTGTGTTTGTTTTGCTCTGTTAGAATTGTAATACAATGGTTGCTGATGACACGATAAATAAATATTGTGATGTCACGTCAGACTTCTTGTAGTATGATGCTATGTGCCAGCCTGAGGAAGCTTTGCTAACTACTGGGGTACCATTGGCTGTTATCTGGTGACCTGGTCCACCACTATCTTTGAGGAGTTTCTGATTCCCTGTGAGTTGAAAGAAAAATGAGTTGCTGGATCTCCTAATTACCAGTAAATCATCTTGTACATCAATGCCCTTGTCTTTATCTTACTGAGCATCAAAACTGTTTTGCTGTGGTTATTCTGATCATCTCCTAATTCATTGTGCCATTTTTTCAAAATTTGAAGGACAGAATTCCAATTTGGAGACAGAATAAACTACTTCTGTGTACATGTGAACACAGTACATTGTGTACATTTACAAAAATAGGGAAATCTTTTATTTACAAAGAGTAAAAAAATTAAGCCATCAGTATTCCCCAATATCTGTTTCTCTATGTCTTAAGTTTCCTTTGTACAAAGCTTAGTGATACATATATTGCCTCAAATTCTTTGCCTTTAGTTCTCCTATTTTTCTCTTGAAACAATAAAACTTATAATATCCAAACTTATCTTCTTTCCTGAAATGGATTTGTCTTTGCTCTTTCACTTTACCAAGATATAATCTTAAGCTTTGTAAATTGTTTTGAAAATAAAACAGAGGAAGAGATGAAGAGGTAAAGACAATTTTTGACTCATCACTTCCCTTTCCTATTAGCTTACACAACCAGCCCAGATTGCATTTCTGAATCAAACTGAATCCTGGCAGAGGCCAGAATGATGGAGCAGAGGGTAATGGCACAGAAGAAAAGAACTAGACCTGCCTGCTCTTAGATCTTAAATCAACCATATGGAAGAATATTCTCTCCTCAAATGATTATAATGTTTGGTTGGGAGATGGCTGCTGTTTCGGAACTCCAAGCAGAACCTTCAGTCTTACTGTGTTTGGATGAGATGTCCTCTAACAGCAATCTATTTGATCACTGTCTGTTTTGCGAACATAGCACAAATGTTCTCATAATTCAGATGCCTTTCCTTTCATTTAAAAAGGATCTGGCCTTTTCCATTTCTTCCAAGCTTGTTCAAACCCATGGATTCCCATAATTATTTCTATGTCATGTGAAAGCTATATGGATATCCTGGGGTTTTCACCAACTATGCAAGCCATCTGAATAACATGGGTAATGATCCTCTTACCCAAGTAGCTAACTGAAAAATTGCAATGAGATTGCCTTCATGGTTCAAACTGATATCAATCACGTTTGCATTATTTTTTAATCAAGTCACACAGATAACCTTCAAGCAAGTGTCTAATTGTATGATTTTGCTTCATCTTCATATCTCCAATTTACTAATTCTGCAGAATATTGCATGTAGGGACTGAGTCCAGATGTCTGAAAATACAGACCCCTCATTCCTTGCACTAGCATTATAAAGCTGTTTATCTTTGTCAACATTTCAAATGTTTTTTGATTTTTAAAATGTTTTTTTTTTATTTTTAAAAAATGTTATGATTACGAGTACTGAACAAAGGTGAATGGAGGACAGGAAGCAAAGATTCAACTTCCAGTAGATAAATATGTCAAGTACAAGCAACCTGGCATTGGTCCAATAAGGGATTACAGAGCCCCAACATTTTGCCCTCCAGATGTTGATGAACTACTCCTTTCATGAATTGAATTTCTAGAAAACCACAGGTTCCCCAGCCCTGTTCTACTTCATGATGGGAATATGTGGTCTGCTGTCCTGACTAAAAAGCTGGAACCATCTGTGCCTGTATTTGGTTTCATCAATAATATGCTGTATGCTTTGATTTGTGATCTCCTATTTGATTATTGATTGCCTAATGAGAAAGACACAGTGGATTATTATTATTATTATTATTATTATTATTATTATTATTATTATTGTTGTGCAGTTTTCTGGCATTGTATATTTCTGCAGCTTCTGTGATTGTTCATTTGTATTTTGATTCTGTAGCCCATTTGTCGATGGATGTCCAGAATCAGCAGCATCCACCGCAGTCCTTTTTATCCTGGGTGTCAACTGAGCCAGTACAGGCTTTGTTTTGGTTTGTTTCTCCATAGTGCTAATGGGTTAGGTGCTCTTAGTTCCACTCTTCAGCTGAGACCTCTCTGGCTTGGTTGAACCTGCTAGTAGTTACAGTACTGCCAGCACAGCTCTCAGTGTCCTTGGAGCAGTTAAGCCCCCCACCACGACAAGGGGGGGGGGGCTAGTGACTTTAATTGAAGTCAATAATCGGAAACTTCTCAAAGCACAGCAGACAGGGCACAAGAAAACTGCACTCCAAACCAGAGCTGACAGCTGGCACAACAAAGCATTGCATGGGCAGTTCCTTGACAAAATTGAAGGAAAAGCTGATAAGGAGAAGACCTGGTTATGGCTCGTGAATGGAACACTGAAGAAGGAGACAGAAGGCCTGATTATTGCAGGAACTAGCCATCAGAACAAATGCAATTAAGGCCAGGATCGAAAAATCAGCGGATGACCCAAAATGCAGACTGTGCAAGGAAGCTGATGAAACCATGGACCATATCCTCAGTTGTTGCAAGAAAATTGCACAGACAGACCACAAACAGATGTATAACTCTATGGCCCAGATGATTCACTGGAACTTATGTCACAAGTACCACCTGCCAGCAGTAAAGAATTGGTGGGATCAAAAACCCGCAAAGGTCGTGGAAAATGCTGTGGGACTTTCAAATCAGACTGACAAAGTTTTGGAACACAATACACCAGCCATCATGATTGTGGAAAAGAAAAAAAGTTTGGATTATTGATGTCACATTGAGAAAAAACAACAGGAAAAACTCAGCCACTATCAAGACTTCCCAAGCATCTAGGACTGTGTGATCTATTTTCGAATGATGCACGCAGATCCAAGTAAGGTGGCCAAAATGGAACTGCAAAGGCTCTGGCATAAACCAGTACACTGGATGCTATGCCAAAAGATCTCAGCCGGCATTTGGAAACAATCAACATCAACAAAATCATGATCTGTCAACTGCAAAAGGCCACCTTACTTGGATCTGCATGCATCATTCGAAAATACATCACACAGTCCTAGACGCTTGGGAAGTGTTTGACTTCTGATTTTGTGATACGAAATCCAGCATATAGATCTCGTTTGCTGTGACATACTGTGCTTTTGTGTCAGTAAAATACTAATAATAAACAACTTTATTTATATTCCATCCTATCTCCCTGAGGGGACTCCAGCATAACAATGGCAAACATTCAATGCCTGCATAAAACACACAATAGTAACATAAAATCCCAGAAAACCCCCACATATAAAAGTAACATTAAAGCCTAACATCAAATTAAGACCTAACATCAGTAAATTAAACCTGACATCAATAAATTAAACTACGTGTAATCAGACAAAATTCTATAATAACATAAATCTAAACAAAACATCCACATTAGTGTACAACAGCCAGGAAGGGTTCATAAAACGGTGTGGGTTGGTTATGGAGTCAAATGAAATCATTGGGCTGGCATGGACCAGGAAAGTCCAAATACAAATAGTTCTCAACCAGAGCCCTGGCAGTGAACCATTCCTCCTCCTCTCCATATGCTCGTGAGTGGAAGTAGGTCTTGAGGTGTTTTTTTTAAGGAGAGGGGGCAGCTTTATTTCTTTAGGGAGGAAGTTCCAGAAGTGGAATTAATCCACATTCCCCAATCATGTGATCACCACTGTCAAAGGAATATTGAAGAAATAGTCTTTGAAATATAGCATAATGCATTACCTTATTAGGAATCTTGTTGCTCCAAGAACTACATAAGCTATTACAGGATAAGCTTTCAGAGACAGTTGTCATAGTATATTACCTATATTTCTAAATGTAGAAATGACATCTAATCACCTTTATAGAAGCCACTTCCATGTAATCAACTGCCAGATATGGTTACTACAACCACTATCACACCCAGAAAGTAGGGCCGTGCCCAGGCTACCTGGGGATTTGGCAAGTTGTAATACACGGTGGGCTAAAAGTTATAAAGGCATCTGATATTTAAATAACTGGAAAAAAATTATGCATAATAAAATGCTATTCTATTTTCTGTATATGATGCTATGGTATTGTAAATTAAAAGCAAAAAATAAAGAAGAAATTAAATATTGAAATCCCTTTGTGACTTTTGACCCATCCTTCATAACTTCTTGAGGCTGATGAATTTGGAAAAGCTGCTTTATAGATTTAAATGACTATCTTCTTGCTTGCTTGCTTGCCTGCCTGCCTTCCTTCCCTCCTTCCTTCTAAAAATGTATCTTCAAGAGAGGAATCCATTATGCAGACCATTTTTGTTTGTGATCATAATGACATCTGACAGCCTCTCCAAGAGCTTATTGGGATAATGTACTGACAAATAATATACCTTTTTCATTTATGAAGAATATATTTCAGGGATATTCCACCTTCAAGATAAGTAAGCTGCTATCTTCCTTTTACGTAATCCTTTTGTCCCCTATAGTACAGCTCACTCATGCTTTCTTTCTCCCATCCCCTCTTTCTTTCTTGCAGAATGACTCTTGGGGAAAACAATACTCCTATGCACTCTTCAAAGCCATGAGCCATATGCTTTGCATTGGTTACGGAGCCAGAGCCCCAGTCAGCATGTCCGACCTCTGGATAACTATGCTGAGTATGATTGTGGGGGCTACCTGTTATGCCATGTTTGTTGGCCATGCCACCGCCCTAATCCAGTCTTTGGATTCATCACGGCGTCAATATCAAGAGAAGGTAATTTTTTTCTGTGCATAATGTGAAAAAAGGTATTCCTGAATTGGTTCTGGCAAGCTGACAAAAGTCGATACATTGAAGAAATAAAGTTTTTGGTAGACAATTGGGTATTCCACCAGCACTGCCTCTTGAAATGTCTTTTGTATGGACTTCGTTGTGCTGTAATGAGCTATGGTCTCATCATGGATGAACTCATTCATAGCATGCAAAGTGGCAGAAAATGCTGTTTTTTTTTTCCTCAAAAAGCAAGTGGGGCTTTTACATTTAACACAAAAAATGATATGGACCTCAGTCCCTAGTATCAATATGTGTCTATGTGTGTTTGAATAGACTTCAAAATCAGTGCGACTTAGGTTAGTAAGACTGATTTTGCTTGGTCTGCTCCCACAATGATACAGTATCCAACAGTATCAACCCAACCATACAGGTGCCATAGCAGTAGCAGTAAATTAATTCTAGTCTGAGCTCAAGGGTGGAATCCAAAGCATTTTTCTCTTGTCCAGCCTTCAGACAATGTATCCATCTGTGACCAAGATCCTAGAACAGAGGGATACACTGTCTCACCAAAGTCTCACCAAACGGAAGCATAGTGTCTGTCCTCTCCAACCCACCACCAGCTACAGGAATATAGCTGAATTTTCTTGTCACCACTACACCTGTCCTCCTCCAGTTAGTAAATATCCATGTTTGTGATCTGTAGTTGGTAAAAATGGGATGGGGGAAGTATGTTCATTATAGGAGATCAGCTTAAAATTCCAGCCTCCATAACAATAACAAAATGACTCATTCAGGACTGTGTAAGTCACTAACAGGATGCTACTCTGCCATTCTAACCCAGACATGCTCACACTGGGTTGTTGTGAGTTTTCCAGGCTGTATGGCCATGTTCCAAAAGCATCCTCTCCTGATGTTTCGCCCGCATCTATGGCAGGCATCCTCAGAGGTTGTGAGGTTTGTTGGAAACTAGACAAGTGGGGTTTATATATCTGGGGAATGTCCAGGATGGGAGAAAGAAATCTTGTCTGTTTGAGGCAAGTGTGAATGTTGCAATTAACCACAATTCAATGCTAATCAGTGTTATTGATTACCATTGAATGGCCTTGCGGATTAAATACCTGGCTGCTTCTTGCTTTGGGGGGGGGGGATCCTTTGTTGAGTGGTGTTAGAATAGAAGTGGGTGAAACATCAGCAGATAATTCTTCTGGAATATGGGCATACAGCCTGGAAAACTCACAGCACTCCAGTGATTCCGGCCATGAAAGCCTTTGACAACACATCCTCAGACTGTTGCCCTTCAATTCCCAGAAGCCATGCCCAGTTTGTTTAACAGTCAGGAATTCTGGGAATTGGAGACCCAAACAGCTGGTGGCTGCAGTTTGAGGATGCTTCTTATAACCTGAGAATATATGCACAAGATGCATAAGACGGCATATTTTTTGCAGCTATCTACTACTCCAGTGTGTGCCATTGGCATTTGCTGCTGCTTGTACAACTTGGAACTCAAATGAGCCTTCACTAGCCCACTCTATTCCTCCAGTACTGGTACACTGGATATAGGCTTAAGTCTGGATGCAGTCCAAGGAATCTTACCCAGTTATTAATAAAATGTAATGTTTTGCAGGAATAATGGGAAAATGTTAACTCAGCACCGGACATTTAAATTACTGTTATTTTCTTTTGCCGTTTACCATTATTTATATAGCACTGTCATTTATTTTGATTTATGTAAAATTGTACAATATTAAAATTATTTTCAAAAACAATAGGTGAAAAAACAAGTGGTGATGAAATGTTAAGAAGAGAACAAAAGGATAGTAACAGATACCAGTAAAGAACTGGCACAGGGATAGAAATAACACAGGGATTCTCTTTGTATCTTCTACTATCTGGTATTTCAAAGTGCAGATGTATTATTTTTCCAATCACCCTGCAACATTTAAAGAAGTTGTTATTGAATTATACAGGCAGGTATCTCCTCAAACTCAATCAGTGTCTGATCTTTTTTCCCCTGACAAATGCTGCTCTATGATTAATGGATAATAGATGAATAATCAAGAAAATGACATTTCCTATGTTAAGAAGGTCATATCAAAACAAAGCAAGAGATAGAGATTAGAAGAGTGGCCAAAGATTATATGTTCAATCTAATGTCACTGCAATGTTTGTTATCCTGTAGAAAGTTCTTTTTAAAAAGTGGGGAATGTGTGTGGTCTGAGCTGCAGTTTTAAAGGCTAAAGTGCATAATGTATTACAGTGCGAACAAGGGGAAGCTGAAGCGGAAATAAAAAGAGGTAACAGATACTGTCAGATCAACAAGGTAACATGAAATTTGATGAGGGGATAAGCTTAAAACAGGAAGGTAATATAAAACTCTGTGTTGACAAAAGGATTGGTTGATCTAATAGTAAATGGGAAAGCAACAAAAGAGCCTATAGTAGTAGGCATTTTGATTTAGACCAGATCAGCAAGGATAAAATATGACCTTAGTGTCTGCACTGAGAAAGGGGTGCATTGGTGAACTGAATGTTTCAGTTATTACATTTTTATTTGCATTTGTCAAGACCTTGAGGTCCAATTCTCAAGGAGAGTTCATTATTAGAAAAATGATATATGATGAAATTCTGGGAGAAGGGGAACAAAGTCAAACCTTGAAGGCCAAACTAGAAATATAAAATGTCTAGAAAGCTTGGTGCAGTTGCGGAGAAAAACAGGGCATATTGTATGGCAGTTGTCTATATTAAGACTGTCATACTTTGGCCATATTATGAGAAGAGGTCACTCACGAGATGACAAAGAATAGTCAGGTAGGCAGTAGGAAAACAGGAAGACCACATTCCAGATAGATTACTCAATCAGGGAGTCATGGGCCTGAATCTGCAAGACCTGAGCAGGACTGTTAAGGATAAGGTGACTTAGAGTCTAATTTCCTAGGAATACCACAGATCCAAGTCAACTTGAAGGTAGCCAACAACAACAAAGTGCTTGGAAAAACTGAAATATATGCAATACTGTACACATCAACTCTTAATTTGTGCTACTATCCAGAGCATACTTTTCCATTGACTGGAGAAAGTTCCTGAGTATTTTTCCAAGATCATTCTATCTCTAATTGCACAGCCAGAGATAAGTTAAACTTTCATGGTAGACATTTGACTCAGTTCCAGAGAGATGCATATGGACGATTTATAATTTTTCCCTCTATTTATAAAAAAAGTCTGACTAGATAGTAAGCGGTGCGACCACATATGAACTTATGCTCTAGCTTTACCACATTGCCTCCAGCAGCTTTTGCTAATTCTATTTTTAATGTAACTCATCCTCAAGAGTGTCATATACCTCTCAGGGTTTTTGACCCTTTTCTGAACAAGTAAGCATGAATGAAAATAATGATAATAGATGTAATGATAATCTGGGATTATACACGATTAAGTGTAATGGAATCTCTCTAATAGCCTTGTTTATTTCCTCCTCATATTTTTCTTCTCTTCCTCACATTACATCAAGGGTTTGGGAAGGTTTTTATGCACACAAAGTAACATTAGTGAAGGAATAATTTCTTTTCTTTTCTTTTTTGCTGAAAATAATCTTTTGCAGAATATTACTCTTTGCTCTTACACCTAAAATTATTTTCAGCACATCTATATATATAAAAATGCTCTGTGCATAATGAGTATCTTAAAAACAAAAGAACCAATGAACGAAATCACATCAAATTTGGCAACAAAATGTCTCACAACACAAGGAGTGACCATCACTCAAAAATTATGATTTTGTCATTTGGGAGTTGTAGTTGCTGGGATTTATAGTTCACCTACAATCAAAGAGCATTCTGAACTCCATCAACAATGGAATTGAACCAAACTTGGCACACAGAACTCCCATGACCAACAGAAAATACTAGAAGTGTTTGGTGGGCATTGACCTTGAGTTTGGGAGTTGTAGTTCACCTACATCAAGAGAGCACTGTGGACTCAAACAATGATGGATCTGGACCAAACTTGGCACAAGCACTCAATATGCCCAAATATGAAAACAGATGGAGTTTGGGGAAAATAGACCTTGACATTTGGGAGTTGTAGACACTGGGATTCACAGTTCACCTACAATCAAAGAGCATTCTGAACCACACGAACGAGAGAATTGGGGCAAACTTCCTACACAGAACTCCCATGACCAACAGAAATTACTTAAGGCCATCGAGTCCAACTACCTTCACCAGGGCAAGAAAACATAATCAAAGACCTCCTGACAAAGAGCCATCCAGTCATAGATATAGATAGATATGATTTGCACACACACAGATATAGTATCATAGATTTGAAAGGGACCCCTGAAGAAGGACAATTATATGTTGCATGTTCCAGAGTAGGCACACCAGATACTCTCCACATCAACACTGACAAAGAAACAGCAAGAAATACTGTTTACCCACAAGCATCAAGATATTACATATATTAGAAACCAACATTTTCTCATTACTTTATTTTCCTGTACACTAGACTGGGCCACAGCAACGCTTGGCAGGCGACAGCTAGTTTTAATATAAATAAGCCATAGCATCACCTAATAGCAATGCTCTAATGCACCTTGGCAAAGCATAATGGTTCATGGAGGGCATACTCATTCGCATCATATGGTTCAGGAGCTCCACTTGTTTTTGCATGAGGGAACAAAAAAAGTGAATATGTATACTTAACAAAAGAATCTCACACACCCCTATCTTTATTTCTGGGGTGTGGTCCACTTTAAACTATTCCCTTGGGCTTTATCCGTCTTGGACTTCCTGCTGGTCAAAAGTAGGGTAGTCAACCTTGTTGAGTCAAAAGTAGTCTACCTTTGTTTTTCACTATCTTACCTTTTCTTGCAACTTCTTTCTTTTTCTCCCTTTTTTCTGCAATGTACTTAATCTTTTCTTGATACCACCCTCTGGTTTGTAGGGAGATGATAATATTTTTCTTTCCAGTGTAACCACTTGCTAAGATATCTATTTTTAATTGATC